GTGTTTCGTGCGTTTCGTGCGTGTTCGTGCGTGTTTCGTGTTTCGTGCGTGTTTCGTGTTCGTGCGTGCGTGTTTCGTGCGTGTTTCGTGCGTGTTTCGTGTTCGTGTGCGTGTGGTTTCGTGCGTGTTTCGTGTTTCGTGCGTGTTTCGTGCGTTTCGTGCGTGTTTCGTGCGTGTTTCGTGCGTTGTTTCGTGTTTCGTGTTTCGTGCGTGTTGCGTTTCGTGCGTGTTTCGTGCGTGTGTCGTGTGTGTGTGTGGTGTGTGTGTGTGTGTCGTGTGTGTGTGTGTTGTCTGTGTGTGTGTGTGTTCTGTGTGTGTGTGTCTGTGTGTCTGTGGGTCTGTGTGTGTGTTGTGTGTGGTCTGTCTGTGTCTGTCTGTGTCTGTCTGTGTGTCTGTCTGTGTCTGTCTGTCTGTTGTCTGTCTGTCTGTCTGTCTGTCTGTCTGTCTGTCTGTCTGTGTGTGTGTGGGTTTTGTGTGTGTGTGTGTTGTGTCTGTGTGTGCGTGTTGTGTGTATTGTGTACGTTGTGTTTGTTGCATACCACTGCACCGCAGAACCCATAGCAGTTTCAACATTTGTACTACAGAAGGACGATTTGAAAGGGGAGGGGTGGGGGGGTGGGGGGGGGGGGGGGGGGGGGGGAAAAGTCATGCGTGCAACCTGCAGAACCCATAGTACCACATTACTACATTTGTACTACAGCTTCCGTGGCATCTGAAACACCGTTCAAGCGCCGAACAGCAAAACACCTTTCGGCTGCCACAAGCCGGTCCTCTTCATCGTCCTCTTCCTGAATGACTTCAAAATACTGCATGCATGAAGCTGCTCGTAAGACGGCGCGCTGGCGTAAAGAGTCCATGGCTCGTCTCCCTTATGCACATTCATTAGCGCATAAGGTCCTGCATGTCGACAATCAGATTGTCCACTTCTTCTTCCTCATGGACTCCAACTCAGCAATCTTGACCATGAAGGCATCCTGCTCCTTACTTCCGCCATCTCGTCCAACAGCATTTGGCCAGCACCCTTCTCGATGCAGCACTGGTACACGTCAGCGTGAACACCAATGACAAGATCAGCAAGCAGACATAGGGACCCCAAAGCTCCAGCATGGGATTCTCAGGCTTCATGAACTCCAACAACACCTCTTCTTGAAGCAAGGCCTTGCTCATGGTCCACAGAAAATTAGAGGCAGTGCGGATAGTCCAGCGAATATGGCTGTCAGAATCGATGCAGCAAAGCCAGGGCACCTCCAGGCGTACTGCCCCCTGCTTCATACGCATAATACGCATATAGCCAGATGAATCAGCAGCCACACGTGGAACTGCACACAACCGCCACTGGAATGAGCACGGGTCCCAGGACAGTCAGAACCAACACGAGAGCCACTGAGGCCAACACAAAAGCCATCGATTGTGTGTTGTAGCCTTCTGAGTTTACATATATCTCTGCATCCGCTTGTGATCATGTGTGCGATCTTCGTGTACTGCTTCACGAGTGACAGCCATGCATGCAAGAATTTCTGTCGTCTTCCATGAGAGGAGTTTCTCGGAAGTCGAAAGTCGCGTCAATCGAGATTTGTGGAAGGAGCGAAAGCGCCGCTCAAATGCCCAAGTTGTAATGTGGAAAGCTTCTGACTGGTCCCTCGAAATCGAAACCCTGTTCCGCAGTTTCTGTAGCACCTGACTTTCATCTGGCAAGTACCCGCATCTCGGGGTCTTCCTCAGCAGAGTGAAACCTCACCTGCGAAGTCGCTGCGTGCCTGTCTTCTTGTGGAAAATGAACTTTAGATGTCCGGGCGCTTGAGTGCTGACCCGGAACCAAGCAGCACGAACCTGCGCCTTCTGCAGCGCCGTCAACTGCTTCTTTGGAAAAAACTCGCCTAACAGGGAGTCCAGATCCTCACTCTTGTGCACAGCATGACTGAAGGATGACACCGACCATCCTGATCCACGATGAGCTGTCCCAGCTCCTCTGAGAGGCCTGCTTGTGCAAGAGTTCCTTCAAGGACATGCTAACACTGAAGCCTAAAGCCCTTTGGCTGCAGATAAAGGATGGACTCACCGCTGCATTTATGCGTGTTGTTGCGAAGGAGTGGTGTCTGCAGGTCTCAAGTAGGCTTCTGTCACTGCAGAGACTTAGTCCTCATCCAACTTGTGTAGGCTGCTGTCTCAGGGCTCATCAGTGCAAAAACGGCAAGGCCGCTTCGGAGCAAACGAAACAAGAGAACACGACACACGCCGTGCACTTGCAAGTACCTAGGCCTCAATATTCAGAATTTGGCATCAAGGCATAGAGTCCATCCCGAGGGAGGGCTTTTCACACCCTTTGAGCAGCACTGCCTACTGCCTGCAAGGGCAGTTCTCTACAGTCAGGTGAAATGCTGTGACACTTCCAAGCGCAATATTTGCAAGGCATCGTGAGGCCAGACGGCCCAAAAGGCAAGCTTTGCCTGGTGCTGGTGCACTGATTTCTGAGCCGGTGCCCGATCGCCTTAAGCGTTCTCAGCCAGTCCGCCGGGGTCTGCAGCAGCAGGCACCTCAGGCCCATCGTTGTAGACTATAACTTCCAGATTGGCTGAAATTGAGTGTCTTCGTCAGGGCTTATCGCCCCTCTGGACCTGGGCTGAATTCGGCTTCCGACGTCTACAAAGCTTTGGTTGCTGCAGTCCGAGTCCTATAGTGTCAAGAGCCGGGATGACACTGCTGTCAGCTGGAAAACTGCTTTACTCCATCAAGACAAGGCCGCCTCGGATCTTTGGATATCTTTGGCATGCACGGGAAAGAGACGTAACTCTTGCTGCCAGGGCCACTCAGAGCCTAACGGCAGCTCAGTTATATGAAGAATAGCCGCAGTGCGTGACGCTAGGATTGGGCGCGGCATGGCAACGTGTTTGCGCCAGACCCCTCGACAATAGAAACACAAAATACGCAATCTTGAGGCTTCTGGAACTTTTTGAAATGCTGGAGATACTGGTGGGCGCAGTGGAATTAAACTCATGGCGCGGGCGTGCTTGGCCAAATTCCTATACTCTCATTGTCCCGATATCTTCCAGCATCGATATGATCAAATCCTAGTACAACATGATTAGCCATTTCTCTTGTCCCGCTCTCCGTAGATTTTGTGATCCCAGTATCATGACACATCCTGCTTGGGAGCGGAGGGGGGTACTAGTACCTTAGTGTAGAGGAGCCCTGCACCCGAGGCAGAAGCAGAAGCACCAGGCTGTCAGGAAGGCCAGGACAAAGACCAGCACCTGTGCTCGCGTTGAACAAGTCCGCTCCCATGAGCCCCAAGCACGCTCACACCAGGTAGATTCGTAGATGAAGAAAACCAGCAATGCTGCGGCATTGCACGACAAGCTATTTCTAAACGAATAGATCGCCACAGGGCACCGCAAAGGTGGACAGAAAAGCTGGATAATTGCATGGAGCTCAAGTCTTTTCCATTCGGGTCTCCCTGAAAAGGTGCCTTGCAACTGATGTTAGGCATTACGAGTACCCTAGGCCCTCGAGCCCTCAAACCCCCCAAGCCCTCAAACGTCGGGCCGCGGGCCCAGTTCAGCAAACCCCAGGCGATGGGGTAGCGGTAGTCGAAGGTCAGGAGGCGGTTCACAGGGGAACACCTCAGATAGCTGAGGGTTGAGGGGTTTAACTAGGGTTGAGGCCGTCAGGTTTGCAGGGATTCTAGGTCTAGAAGGTTCAGAGGCTAGGGTTCAAGGTTTAGGCTTAGGATTTGGCGTTTACGGCTCAAGGGCGGCGAGGAGGGAGGAGTATACAGGAGTTGGGAGGCGTTGGGGTTTTTGTTTGGGGTGTCATTACGGATGTTGGCATGGAGGCATAAGGGGCAGAGGAACACCTATTTCGCGCTGCCTTCATATCGTGTCTGCAAGCCAACGAAGGAACACGCCCTCGTCAGCATCCTATTGCCCTTGCAGACTTCCATGACACCCCTCTGCTGCAATGTGATAAGGCCCTGACGGAACCTGCCCAGGGCCATCGCATCCTTCTTCGCCTGTGGAAGCGAGCCAAGATGACGCTTGGAATCCTGAACCCTGCACCCGCGGCCCTGTAACCGCTCTCTGTTGGTCACGCCGCGTGACGGCAGCTCCACACGCACACCCTTCAACCCAATTCCAGATCCCACGGTCCTGCGGTTGCTTTGGTGGCTGCAGCCTTGTCCGTGGAGGTCTTGTTCTCTTTGGCATCCTGAGGGTCCAGAGAGCTGCGCGGTCCACGCAAGACAAAGCCACACAGCCCCTCACGCCTGCGCAAAGCAAGATTGTGTAGACTGGTCGGCTAGAAGGGCCTTGGAGCTTTTTTGCCTAGAGGCCTACAGATTCAGAGCCTCCACAAACCAGACCTCCTGCAGTGGAGAGTGGCGCCTCGGGATGCCGGCCTAAACCCATTCAACCCAAACTTCAAACCCTGCAATTAATAAACCCGAAAAGCCCAAATCCTGAACTTGAAGCCTGAATCCCAAACCCTTTTACCCCGAACACCGGAAACCCTTCGCCCTGGAGCCCTTCCCTAAACCCTAGACCGTTCTCGGCTCGCCTCGGGGACGGCCCGGGTTTCCTCAGAGCCCAGCGCCAGCGCGGAGACGGGCGTCTCACGGCAGCGGTTTAGGGCGCTTAGATGCGTTTAGGGTGTTTAGGGTTTAGGGTTTGTGGCTCGTGGTCGGGGTGTACTTAGGGGTAGGGGTTTGCGGTCGAAAGCGGTTCGAGGGAATTGGGGGGGAGGGGAGTGAAGGTTCCCTTTTGCCAACTGTGTTCTTAGCCCCCGAATTAATGGACGTTTGTGATTCAAAGATAACCCTAAACCCTAAACCGCTAAAGCCGCTAAGTCTTAGGCACAGTCATAAGTTCTTACACGAAGCTACCAGAACTTCCCGCTTCTGATCTTGCAAGCAGTTTACGGATCTCGGCTCGGCTTCTGAAGGCTGACAGGAATGTGGCCTCAGCAGGATCAGGCTCTAATCGCGCATGCCCCCGGAGGGAGATCTGAAGACCTCACACGCCGGATGGCAGGTTTAAGGTTAGGGATTAGGTAAGGTAAAGCTTCGACTACGCAACCATGGACGACGTCTTACCGACATTGACCCCCTTGAGGACATGATATTGTGCAACAACACTTAGAGATCCATGTCCATCCCTTTACTAGTTCTTGTGAAGGTCAGCAGGAAGTTGGTGGGTCATGGATGCTCAAACATAAACCGGAAGACAAAGCCCAGTAGACCCACGTACAACGCTTCGACGAGCCTTCTGATCCAGCCGTTAAGACGGTACTCAATCGTCGCCCGAAGCTCCTTCGGCCTATGCCTATGCGGAAGTCGAGGGTTTCGGCATGGGGGCTTTGGGCTTAGGGCAAGAACTGAAATTCTGCCCCTGATGCCAAGCACCCTCTGAGCCCCTAGCCCTGCAGCTCCTTCGAGAGGACCGCGGCATCCTTTCAGAAATACGACTCGTGAGTTTAGGGTTTCAAGGTCGTTGTGAAAGTTTGGGAGCTTCAATTTTTGGGTTCAGGGTGGGGGGCGCAACCGGCTTAAGCTTATTGACCCTTGATAAACCTCCTAATGTTTAAGTACAACGTCAGAAGTAACAGCTGATAGGTTTGCGGCAGGCGACACACAACTTCTACATGACTCAGAGTGTCACATCAATGCCGTCATCATTGATGCATCATCTTAACCTCTACCCGTTTCAAAGGCAGCTAACATCTATATCTATAAACATGTAGCGGCTGATTCAACGTTCTAACTTTGCGGGGGTCTCGGAATGTCTAGGACTTCTCTTTGCACCGCTGTCCACTTCGGCAGCGGCTCAGGTAATTTGAACACAATCACGACCACGGGGGCGTTGCC